GTCGACATAGTTGAACGAATATTATTAATCACCTCTACATCCGTTACAGAAGGTGTAGTATCCATCCAAAAAGAAAGTTTCTGCACATACATAACAATAGTTATTAGTATTCTGATACAAGATTGTGTTTCAACAAGACTTCCATTCAAGTATTGTGCACAAGACTTAGAAGTATATTTCACTTTGAAACCAAAACAGATACAAATATAGTACAAAATATTTGGTTAGAAAAGTATGATGTATATTACTGGCTACTGCTATCAAATCTAATAGTCTCTTAAATTTTTATCTCTATCACTTGTTTTTCCTTATCTCTGCGGACCATCACAATGTTTACAGTACAAAAACCTACATACAAATGGAACCAAAAGCAATGAGTCGAACACTTGCCCCTTTTTCATTGCATTGAAACAACATAAGTAAAGAGAGAAATAAGTGAAACTTATATACAAAAAATTTATCATCATCTTTATCATCTTGTTGCTAAGCTTAACACACCATAGATATGGACACCAAGATGTATAATTTTTAGGTTTATATCTATGATTCAACTACCCAAAAATGTGATGTTGTTGACAATGGCAATACAAGAAAAATATCTAAAAACGAGTTAGTAGCAATTACTTACCTAGATTAAAATGAGTTGATGACGATTTGAACAAAAATCCAAAAGACGAGCTCAATATATGTCCTAATAGCTAATGAGTAAAACCTAACAGTGACTAAGTCTTTGAAGGTGAAGAGCTATTTTTGAGCTGCTGACCTAAATGACCTTTGTTAAATGAGAAAGAGAATATTAAAGGGCTAGTTGAATTGTATAATTTATTTGGGCTTTTGTTTATTCCTAAAAATAACAAGTGGGCTCAAGTCAACAATGTAGCCCAAAGTCCACTAATATTAAACAAAAAATTGTGAGAAAGATTAAGAAAAATATATAAATTATATATTAATAAACATTTTTATGTATAAAATAAAATTTTAAAATTACATATATAATGTCGGGTTGGTTTGGTCTCGGGTTGGTTTTTTTTAGTTAAAACCAAACCAACCCAAATATAGTCGGGTTTTTTTTTCCAATACCAAACCAAGTCAAACCAATCCACTAGTCGGGTTTTTTTTTCGGTTTGACTCGGTTCGCGGTTTGGTTCGGTTTGCGGTTCGGTTTTGTACACCCCTACTAAAAGGATGTTTCTTGTTAACTATTATAGTACAAGGATGTAACCTAAGTCTTAGTCATAGTTAAGAGATGAATTTAGCCCAAACCCCTTAATTATTGATAAATTCTAATTTTGATCGTTGTGATGCTTGGTTAAATATAATTAACTTTTAATTAATTAAAATGTGTACTTCTACATTATGTTAAACTTGTGTTCTTACTTCATATTTGATAGAAATATAATTCTACAAATCATCAAATATAACATATTTTTTTATGAGAATAAATCCGAAACACACATCTTTACAATAACTTGGAGAATGAAAAGTTTTATCATCTCTTTAATTAATAAATTTATATAACTACATCTATAAAATCTATAAATTTGGTAAAGAAAATTATAGTTGACTTGAGAATATAACTAACTGTTCCTTCACAATATGCTCATGTTAAAGAAATTCTAAAGTCCTTTTCTTTGTCAAAAGTTGAACGAATCAATTTTAATAGGGAAAATACATAATTAACCCATCAAACTTGTACCATTTTTTGAAGTAGACATCTAAAGTTTGCGGGGGTCCTATTACCCCATCCAACCATTTTCAACAATTTTAAATACACTACTTTTACAATATTCGTAATCTCATGACCAGTGCGTAAAATAATATTTTTTTATTTTTCTTACTTCTTTAATAGTGGGTCGGGTAAAACCCTGACCCACTCACATTTTAACCCTTAAATCTTTTTAAAAAATTCATCGTTCATCTTTCCCAATTCCTTTTCCCAGTTCTTTCGATTTACTTCACTTCAAAAGAAATTTTTTTTTTGAATTTCTTTGTAGATATATATTTATGTAAGTTTTGTTTGTTATTGTTCAGTGTTTTTGGTGTTTGATTTCAAATATTTTTCTTCAAAAATTAGTTTAATCCTTTTTAGCTTTGTGGGTATTCCGAAATCAAGACCAACTTTGAGTTCTATAAGTGAATTTCACATTTTTTTGACTTTGTTCAAGTAGATTCTTTGATACTTTTGATCTGGGGAAGCTATATGAACAGAAATGGGTTCAAATTTCTTTGCTGAAAGGTAAATTAGGTGCTAAATTGATCAAGTATTATGTCGTTGTAAAGTAGATTTTTTTCTAATAAAAGGCCTTAAGATGAATTGCTAGAACTTGATGATAGAGTATACAATAAAAAAATTCGCTTCACGTAGTAAAGAACCAACTTTTGTTGTTGAGAAAAGCTCTCAACAACCATTAATGGTGGTTTGGGGAAGAAGAAACGTGGGCCTCTTTTCACTTTGGTTTAACCATGCCATGTGTCAGTTTTCCATTGGATTGGGGCCGCAATTTTACTCTTTCACGCACTTTTCTAGTGTGAAATTACAATTGCTGTAAAAATGGGTCAAAATGGCGTATTTATTGTCGATTTAAATGGTTTCATGGGGTGATAGGACCTCCGCAAACTTAAGGTGTCTTCTTCAAAAAAGGGTCTAAGTTTGATGGGGTAATTATGTATTTTCTCATTTTAATATAATGATATTAAATATGGATTTCACTATCCTTTTAAATTAATTTCATGGATCTTTATTAGTGTATCAAGATCCATTCATTTAGGAAACTTTAAAAAAGTAATATAATGTTATGTGATTTTTGATCTTGTAGGCCATTTATAATTATTATTTTTTAGTTTTATGTATTATTTTTAGAAGAGATCTTCATTTTATGAGATAAATTTTTATTTTTACACAAAGTATTTAAAAAAATAACATTTTGTAAATGTCAAGAAACTTTAATTCCATCATTCCTTTAAAGATCTGGCTCACCTCGAATAGGTGATTTCAACGGTTCATCCGATGATATTTTAATTGAGTTCTCTAGAGATCACTTATAGTAGGTGAGTCAAACCCGTCTTCTTTTAAATGATAAGGGTGTCAATGATTTTTTAAGAACTGACTTAATCGATCACATATACTGAATCAGTTATTAGGTTTCTTCTAAAAAAAATATATAGGATCCTAAATAATTTATAACCATATCGAATAATTAAATCATAAATTTGCATATTTTACCCTATAAATAGATTAATCTTTAATTTTATCGTTTAGCAATCAAAGTTATATCAATGGACATGAGTTGTTGGAAAATTGAAGTCACATCCAAATATAACGTATAAAATATTATGATACATAAATATAAACTTATACTTCAAATATAACAAAAGAAAATTATTTATTACAAGGAATAAAAATTAAAAATCACCACAAAATAGCGGTGGAAGTGCATATGACCCCAACTAAATGGGTTGGTTGGTATAATATTTGTCAATTAGCGAATATTCTCAACTCACGAGTAATAATACGTAATCACACTTTGAATGGTCAATAGAATTAATTAAAGAATAACCCTGTCACTAATTAAAGGACTTAAGATTAATTTATTTTTTTAATTAAGGGTTAATGACACATTTGGCCCCTCAATTATATGTTTTCTAATTTTGATGGTTATGAATTATGATATCGGCCGGTTAAGCACGTTAAATCTTCAATTAATTGAATGATGCACTTTTGATTCCTTTGTTAGTTAATATTCATAGATTTACCATAATTATTTACAATTCCACTACTTAAACATTAATGTATTATGAAAAGCTTGTGTTGTTAGTTGTCACTCTATATTTCGCTATAATATAGAATATATAACAAGGACCAGAAATATAATCACATTAAATATATATTATCTCTAAAACTTTAGTAAATAGCTTTAAAAAAAGTTATTTTTAACTTATATATACGATATTATTTTCTATATACATAATATAATTTTTCGATAAATGATGTTCTAATGACTATCTTTGAATCGATCAATATAGCTACGCCATTGGTCATTATAGCCAACTAAAAAAATCTAGTCAAATGATCTAAGTTTACTTAATTAGGACCACTAATCATGTATATTAATTTATATTACCTAAACAGTAAACACGCTTGCTTAATTAGTCAAAATTTAAGACCATAAAGATTATGTCTCAACTCTTTATTCAATATAAAGACAATATCTTAATAATTCAATAGTTAATTTGGATATCTTAAAATAATGCTCTGATAATAGAGCAATCTTTTTCTTCTTCTTTTATGGTGATTATAACAATATAATTTTGCCTATTTTGATGGTATGACTTCTCACTAATTATATTTTCATTTAAATTTATTTCAGATCACTGAAACAAATAATATTAATGTAAAAAAATTATTATAATTTATCTGTCTAGATAAAAAAAAATTAATTAATTACTACTCCAATTGACAGATACTTCCTCCGTCCTATTTTATATGTCACTCTTTTACTTTGCACTTGTATTAAGAAATGATGTAACTTTACTCTTTTACCCTTATTTAATGTTTTCTTAAGTCAACTTTATAATAAATGATGAATACATTTTTACGATTAATTAACTACTCTATCAAAGGTATGATAATTTATGCATAAATTTTATAAAACTACAAGTATTATGGTTCAGCTATTTATAGAAAGGAATGTCATATAAAATGAAACATATGAAGTAAAAGATAACGAAATTAGCATGTGAAGCTCAAGATATAATTATATTTTATTAACTATAAAATAGGTAATGCCAAAGTCAGCAAATCATAGAAACAATCAAATTTAACAAAATTAAATAATGAAACTCTTAAGGTTTTTTACTTTCCTAATTAAAGCTTTATCGATGTGAATTCAATTCTCACTGTTAACAAATTAACTAGATTCAAGATTTATTGATTGGCACGAAAATCGAGAATGAATGAATGACTGATATTCTTTTTTTTGAATGATTATTTTTACCTAACAAAAGAGAATAATAATTGACTAGGTAAGTAAAAATTATTTAAAGCCATAAAGCCCCAACATCTTTTAGTATTGGCACTAATTCACCAGAAATATGTGTGGATATCACTCTTTCTAGTCCTCCGAACAAATTTCCACCAACGAAAACCGCCGGAAACGCCGTCGTTGTTCCACCACCACCCGTACCACCGCCACCCACGATTATCGACAACTCCTTCTTCACATCATCTTCATCTTCATTGTTCACTTCGAAAATCGTAGGGTTAACACCTAACCCTAGAAGCAAATTCTTCACAACATGGCACATGCAACACCCACGTAACGCTACAACGATTATCGCATTTTCCGAGATGGATTTCGCTACACTCGTAGTAATGAAGGAATTTTTGTATCGTGATCTCATGTCACGAACATAGTTCATCTCGTTTTTCTCACCTGTAGAGTCGAATTATATGTGAAAAAACGCTTAAATTTCAAAAGAAATGAATTTAGCTAGAAGAATTTAAAAGTTGAACCCGTCAAATGACTTGAATATGATTCAAAGAAGGTGGAAGGATCGAAAAAAGTGAAAAAATAGACGTACATCATCTATAACATCTATTCATCCCTCAATTCCAATCAATCAATTCATTGAGTAATTGTTGAGTAAACTATTAAACTAACAAGAGCATAAAATATTGAAAACAGATTCAAATAAGTTCGATAAATTTAATTAAACCTATCAAATTTAAATTCTAAATCAAATCTCTGTGATAATTACCTGAACGTGACTCAAAATTGGTGGAACCACCACTAGTGGTGGCGGATGAACTACCACTGATCGTCGTGGTGGTAGCGGTGGTGGAGGGAAACCAATTTCTATATGGTAAAGTTTGTTGCATGGTGGTGATTGAGGGGGGGGAGGGGGGGGGGGTTGAGAGGGTTAGAAAGGGAAGAAAAAATGGAGAAGGAAGTGATGTATATATAGTTGATGATGGAAATGGTGTAGAGTACCCTAACGTCAACGGCTATGACGTGAGAACAAACGTCAAGTTTACTATTTGGTACGTTTCCAATACAATTAATTTATTGGGCATATTTCATGCCAAGGGGAGACCTTTTTATATGTTTTCTTAGTAAGCCGTATCGATATTTATAGAAAAAAAATGAAAATTTAGTCATATGTATATTAGTTATATATGTATTATTTATTGAGAGAACTATTGAAAATACTTTTGAATTTGATGTAAATTATTAGTTTCATCTTCGAATTATTGACAGTATTAAAAAACACTCATCTTTACTTGACTAACTAAACTAAGAGACTCTCGATATGTCACATGATGACATTTCAAGTGGTCTCAAATTCTTTTAGAAGCATGTAGTTCTTAATAAAAAGACGAGAGAAGTGTTGAAAATACTCCTAAATATGACAAGAATTTAGGGGTGTATTTCACTTATGTTAAAAGATGGGAGGAGGGTATTTAAGTTAATTAGTTAGTCAAGTAAAAATGTGTTTTTAAGACTGTCAATAGATTGGAGATGAGACTAATAATTCACACCGAGTTTAAGGGTATTCTCAATGTTTCTATCTTGTTTCGCCTTCTATCCTGCATAAAATAATGCATAGAGGCGCTCTTAAGGTTGTATTTAAGTTAATTAGTTAGTCAAGTAAATAGGTGTTTCTAAGGTTGTCAATTAGAGATGAAACTAATAATTTGCACTGAGTTTAAGGATATTTTCAGTGTTTCTATCTTACTTGTTTCACCTTCTATCATGCATATAATAATGCTTAGATTCCTCATAAATGTATTAGACATAAGGATTTCTAAATTGTCAACCAAACGTCATTTAATTTTATACATGAATAACTTATTTTCTATCTATCAACCAAACATCAGTATATAAGTTATATGGAAATTATACACGAATAACTCGTTTCTATCTAGTAGGGGCAGTTTGGTAGCTGGTTGAAGTTATGCAAGTATTAGTAATGTATGAATTAGTTATGAGTGAATCATTGTATCAGCTTATGCAAGTATTAGTCATACTTGTATTACTTATTCTACCATTTATCCTACATAAAAGAAATACATAGATTCCCTCAAAACTTATATATATATATATATTAGATTATGGATATGCGGGTTTCAAAATTGTCAACCAAACATCATATTAATTTTTAATAGACATAGCTTATTTCTTATTTGCTAATCAAACGTCGTATAAAGACACATGTCATTCATTTAGGATAGGGATGACAATGGGGCAAGGCGGGGTGGATTGAGCTTAACCCGCAAAATTTTTAATCCGTCCCGCCACATAACTACTTTTTTCATTTTCAACTCGATCCACATAAATCCGCCCTGCATAAGTTTTTTAATATTTTCTTTTTCCAATTAAGTTTGATACTAAAAATAAAATTCATAAAATAAATTCATTTTTTCATTAAGTTGTACTAATTTAATAGGATAGTGACTTAAATTATTATTTTTAGAGATCAACTGGAAAACATGTACAAAATTGTATTATTTTTTATTGAACCATATTCATTTACTATCTTAAATGCTTTTAGTAGTTTTAAAGAAATTATATGTTCTATCACTCTTATAACATGTAAAAAGTTAAATTAAGCTTAAACTCACACAAAGTCACATATATCTGCAAATCACTCCACCCCGCCCCACATTAGTTTAAAAAAACTCACTTTAACCCGCCCCGCATAATCTTAAACCCAATCCGCCCCGCATAGCTTTAAACCCATCACGTCTCGCGTCCACCCCGGTTCATTGTCATTCCCAAGCGGAGGAAATCACTATTGGAGAGAAGCCAAGTCACGTCAATTTAGGTTCATCATATAACGACCAATCATAAATTATATCACTTACCTAACTTGTTAAATAATTATTACTCTTTCTGTTTCAATTTACGTGACACATTTTATTTTTTTAGAGTTAAATCGTTTAAGTTTTACCAAGAATTTGCGCTTTTTTTAAAAAATGAAATATATATATATATATATATAAACTACCTAAAAAGTACTATAAATCACAATAATTGATTCTAATTTTTTAAAAAGATATATGATTTATAATAAAAAATAAACTTATTTGAATATCAAAATTCAAAATATATTACATAAATTGAGACAGAGAGTAGTTTGTACAAACTTGATAATTAAGTTTCAATATTTATTACACATAAACTTTACCACTAAAATTGGAGTTAATAACTTTGATGGTCACTCAACTATTAATTACTTTCACAGAAAGTCACCCAACTTTCATTTTCAACTCAAAAGTCACTCAACTATGACTTCTTTGCACAGAAAGTCGCTCAACCTATTTAATTGTTTTTTCATTAAAATTTACTGAAATGGAATTTTAAGAACCAAATATATATCCATTTAACCCGATCTACTAAAAATATAATATTGAACTTTTTATTTTACCACTAATTCCCTAAATCATTCTCCCTTTATCTCCCCCCATTCTTTCCCTCTACGTTCTTTTTCTCTTTTCTTTTTTTTTTTAATTTCTCAATTTAGTGGCTATTGAATACATGAATTTTGCAATGGGGCACATTTAATAGTGGGGAATTTGCTAGTTGGCATTTACTGACACACCAACTGGATATAAAAATGGCTATTCAAACTCCTTTCTTGCAAGCCCCACCATATTCCATTCTTTTTAAAATCCCTTAGATTTTTTTTCACATCCCCTGTTTTTCTCATACTCAATTTACTATTGCAACTGCCACTGCCAGTTTTTTCATAGAACAGAAAAGCACAGAAAGAGAGGTTGATATATATTATTAATATGTGAAGAAAGAAGTTGAAATTGAGAAATTATAAAAGAAAAGAAAAGAAGAACGTAGAGGGAAAGAATGGGGGGAGACGAGGGAGAGTGATTCACGGGAATAATGGTAAAATAAAAAGTTCAATATTATATTTTAGCGAGTCGGATTAAATGGGGCAGGTCATTAAATGGTTTAAATTTTTTTATTTTATTTTTATTTTTTTTACCCTCCCTAGGAGGTCCCACCCCTTTTGCTCCCTTGGTGACTTGAACTCGCAACCTTCGGGTTGAAAGTGAGGGGTTCTTACCATCCGAGCAACTCTCTCTCGTCCATTAAATGGTTTAAATGGATATATATTTGATTCTTAAAATTTTGGTTAAAAATTAAAATTCTATGTCACTAAATTTTAATGAAAAAAAATTAAATAGATTGAGTGACTTTCTATGCAAAAAAATCATAGTTGAATGACTATTGAGTTGAAAATGAAAGTTCAGTGACTTTCCGTGAAAATAATTGATAGTTGAGTGACCATCAAAGTTATTAACTCCTAAAAATTGTACCAATCGATTTCTTTATTATTAACGTGAAGTTTCAGGTTCGGTCTTCAAAAAATATTTTTTTTTTGAATTTTTTTTTCTTATCGAATATCGAATGAGAAATAAAAGGAAAGTGTACCCAATTTTAGAACTATTTGCTACTGTTATTGCATTAAATTTATAATTTTTTTAGTGACTTCAAGAAAAGAGATATGGCTAAAGCTCAGAAAATATTTGTCTGAATTTCAGAAAGTTCAGTCATTTTTCTTCGAAGTTAAACAATTATTGTATGGACTTTTACTCGTACGATTAATACTATGTGTATTAATAGTATTGGACTATGGATATGCGAGTTTCTAAATTATCTACCAAATATCATATTAATTTGTATACATAAATAACTTATTTCTTATATGCTTATCAAACGTCAGATAAAGATATACGTAATTCATTTAGGATAGGTCTGGGTGGAGTGGAGGAGATCACTACTGGAAATAAGCCAAGTCAGATCAATTTATTATATCACGACCAATCATATATTATATCACTTTACCTAACTTGTTAAATAATTATTAGTACATTAAAATTCATAGGTACAGTGACATTATTGTTTGTACGAACTTGATAATTAAGTTTCACTATTTATTACACATAAACTTAACCACTAAAAATTGTACCATCAATTTCTTTGTTATCATTTATCACCGTGAAGCTTTAGGTTTGATTTTCAAACAGTAATCTTTTTTATTAAAAGAATTTTTCTTTTTAATGATTGCATTAAGTTTATAATTATACATGTTTAGTGAGTTGATGCATTTAATTTTTCGCACGCTAACGACTTCAAGAAAAAAACTTGACATGACTGAAGCATAGACATTTATTTATGGACATAATTACTCGTATAGAACTTCAGACACGATATATTTAAATTATTACAAAGTAAGTAGATGAATTACAAAAGGAAAAATCATTTTGGCCAGAAAATTTGACCAGAATGATATTTTACCTTTTTAACTTTTAATATCTTTTAATTAAAAAATGGAAAAAAAGATCAATTTATTTTATAATAAAAAATTATTATAATTTTTTTAAAATTTCTGGTCATTTAGCATTATCTTAAAAAAAAATTAAAATGAGTACAAATTAATAGCGGTGTTAACATAAGATATTCTATAATTTTATTTAGGGAAAAAGGACAAATATATCCCCGAACTATCGTAAATGGTATGCAGATACTCTCCGTCATACTTTTGGGACATTGGTGCCCCTCCGTTCAAAAACTAGAGCATATATACCATTTATACTAACGGACATACAAGTGTCATAATCTTATTCATTGATCGACATTTATTAAATATTGGATCGACGGATAAGATTGCACCACGTATCCATATTTAGTCTTCCGTTAGAGTGAAGGGTATATATGCTCTAGTTTTTGGATGGCAGGGGTACCAGTGTCCCAAAAGTATGACGGAGGGTAACTGCATATCATTTAAGATAGTTCGGAGGTTTATTTATCTTTTTTCCCTTTTATTTATGATTTACTGTTACTTTTTTCTACTCGATAT